TAAGCCGTCTCTCAAACGAAAACTCAGGGACTACTGGCAGAGCAAGTGGGATACACACACACACAAAACAAACTACACGTTATCAAGCCACACCTTGGCCATTGGCCACCAGTATCAAAATCACGTCATACAGAGGTTATACTAACGAGACTCAGGATAGGACACATATACACGACACACACATATCTTTTGTCTGGTGGCGATCCACCATTGTGTGACAGATGTGGTGAACCATTAACCGTCCTTCACGTGTTAATCCAGTGTAAACACTTAGAAACCATAAGAAAACAGCATTTTCCATTACCCTACCGACAACATATACCTTTACACCCTGCAATGTTCGTTGGTAGGGAACCGCTTTTTAGTCATAAATCATTGTTAGCGTTTTTAAAAGAAATTCGTAATTTTCATATCATATACCCGGGCATCCCGTAGCATGACCTGTCCAGGGAGGTTTCTTGCTGCGGTGGCTACACAGTAAAGCACTTGCCTCATGGCCCTTGCACGCAAGGGTATGAACCAGTGAGGCACTTGTGCTAATGCCATACATATACACCATCGTTTTTTATTATCACCAACTTTTGTTATCTATTCACACCACACACACCTTTCACGGCATGGTCATGATTTTATTACTTGTATGTTTTTACCCGCCTTACTGCGAGGAATTTTATGGCCCTTATACAGCCGCTAATCACAATCATTCTCCACATTCCTTGTCGCATGAACTGGCGCTCTTTGGCCATCAAATGGCCCTTGCGCCAAAAAACGCCATATATCATCATCAGATCCATGGATGAGAAGTACTTGGCGTGGCAGAGGTGGTTGAGGGCGTCGTCGATTTGTGGCAGGGGGTACACATCCTTTTTGGTGATTTTGTTTAGTCTCCGGTAGTCAATGCAGAATCTTAAAGTGCCATCTTTTTTCTTCACGAGTACAACCGGCGCAGCCCACGGACTTTTCGATGGCTGTATTATGTCGTCGCTGAGCATGTCATCTACTTGAGTCCGTATGGCTTCGCGCTCGTGTGAAGAAACGCGGTACGGTGACTGTCTGGTAGGTCGGGCTCCATCTTCGGGTATTATCCGGTGCTTCGCCAAAGGTGTCTGACGTAACTTCGAGTTCGAGGAAAAACACTCGCTGTAGCGACGGAGCAACTCCAGTAATCTGTCCCGATTTTCTTGCGACAGCGCCGGGTTCACGTCGAAAGGATGTGGCAGCCTGGAAGCATCTGCGCGTGCGCGTTCAAAGGTGGCGACCGCGATCACTTGACTCGCTTCTTGCGTTTCTTCGAGGAACGCAATCGCAGCGCCCTTGTTTAGATGCTGGTACTCCTCGGTGAAATCGGTGACCAAAACGTGGGATCTGCGTTGCTTAAATTGCGCAATGCCTCTTGCGACAGACACACCGCGGTCTAGAAGCAACCTTTGGTCAGTCTCCACGATAGCGTCGACGTCAGGAGCAGCACCTTCACAATAGACGGCGATCATCAAGCTTGCGCGGGGTGGCAGGGTGACGTGATCGTCGGCGATTCTTACAACAGCACGGTGTCCGAGGTTCGGCTGCGGCGTCGTGGAGTGATCGGAAGAAAACGTTATCGACCTGGTCTGCAGATCAATTATTGCGCCTTTGTCCGTCAAAAAGTCCATTCCGAGAATTACGTCGCGGGAGCAGTTAGGCAAAATGACGAACTCCGAAAGGTACGTAGTGCCGTCTATGGTGACGCGCGATGTGCACATACCACTTGGGGTCACGAGGTGGCCTCCTGCTGTGCGTATGTGCGGACCGTCCCATCTGGTCGTAACTTTCTTTAGCTTGGACGCGAATGACCCGCTCATGACCGAGTAGTCGGCTCCCGTGTCGATGAGGGCGACTACGTCAAGGCCGTTGATGGACAACTGGACGTCGGATGCCACTTTCCTCGAATTTCGGGTGCGTCGGGGCGTCGTATCGCGGCTTGCGCGTGTTGATGGTCGGGCACTATGCGTCGTCATCGTCGTCTTCTCAGCGGCAGGCTTCGTCCTTTCGGGTACGCGTCGCGGAGCGTAGCTGTCGTCGTTTTCGGGGGTCTCGTCAGGGTGTCGTCGGGTCGTCGGGATGAGGGCATGTCGTGAATCACGGTCTTGCGTCGTTGGAGGGTTTCCATTTTCTCGCCGTTGTGCAACTTCACCTTCAGAAGTTGCTGCTTTTAGTTTCCCCCTCGTGGGCTGGGGGACCTTCCACGGGCGAAGTCAGCATTGCTGCGACGATTGGGGGGTTGGTACGGGTAGGGCGACGGCGAACGGTTGAAACGGGATGGTCCACGGCTGGTGTTCGACAGGTATTCTTCGATCTCAAATGGGCGCTGGCCGGCTCGCGGGCGGGGTGCGTTGACGGAGAACCCACGCAAACCCAGCCTCTTGTACGGGCAGCGGCGGTAGACGTGGTCGGCCTTTCCACAGTGGTAGCACAGCGGACGATTATCTGGCGTTCGCCACACCTCGGTCTTCCTGGGCGCCTGGTTTCGGGTTGCAGGGGGTCGGGCGGGCGACATTGGGCGGCGGTACGGCGGGGCCTCTTTATAACGGGTTGGGACGGGTCGGGGTCGACGAGCAGCAGCGGAGTAGGTCATCGCTTGTGGTTCGCAAGATGCTTCCGACGGCGTGGAATTCCCCAGTGCTTGCTGAACCTCCTTTCGGACGACGTCAGTGAGGGAGGCGATTTGGGGCTGCGGCGTTGCTGGGAACAATTTCCTCAGTTCCTCGCGAACGACGGCGCGGATGGTCTCCCGCAAGTCTTCCGTCGCCAATCCAGGGGCGTTTACCGGGTTCACCGAAAGGGTGTTGAGTGGTCTATCGTATTGCCGCGAACGCATATCCAAGGTCCTCTCGATCATCGAAGCCTCGGTGACGAACTCAGCGACGGTCTTAGGGGGGTTGCGGATGAGTCCAGCAAAGAGCTCTTGTTTAACTCCCCGCATCAGAAAGCGCACCTTCTTCTCTTCTGCCATTTCGGGGTCAGCTCTCCGGAACAGCATCTTCATCTCCTCAGCGAACAGTACAACACCTTCGTTAGGGTGTTGCATTCGCGTCTCCAACAAAAGGGCGGCTCGTTCTTTCCGCACAAGCGTAGCGAATGTTTTGAGGAATTCGCTCTTAAAGACAGTCCAGTCGGTTAGGGAGCCTTCATGGTTCTCAAACCACGTTCGAGCTGCATCCTCCAAATAGAAGAAGACCTGACGAAACGTTGCTTCGTCATCCCACCTGTTAAAGATGCGGACGCGCTCCAGCTTCTCCAGCCACTCTTCCGGGTCTTCACCAGGAGATCCTCGGAATGATGGGGGCTAACGAGGTTGTTGCAGAACGACGGGAGGGTTGGTAGCACTGGTCATGGTGCCTGCGTTGATCATCGTGGTTTTTACGTCTTCTTTCCTTTTTTTATCCGGGAGCAGTCCAAACTCTGGCTGAAGGCCTCGCTGTCGGCGGCTGACACGAGTTGGGCGTGCTTGTCGTGTTGGGCTTGCTTGTCGGCTTGGCAATGGCTTAGGGTTCATGTACCCCGCACCTCCACCAGATGTTGCGCAGCAAAGGACGACACAGTTGTCTATAAGAAAAACAAGTTTATTGGAGCGAACCTGTGCTCCCCTAACAACTGAAAGAATACACAGGCGGCGAAGCAGCGGCCGGCAAAACGACGGGCACGCTAGTGAGCGTCGGTGATCGAATGACGCGGCATCAGCTGTGCGGGAATTTATATCCGTCGGCGCGAGGGTTTCTCGAATAGTCGAATTGTATCGAGAACGCCGTGATAGCGTTTGTCAGAAGCGCTGTTCGTTCGAACAGCGTTTCTAACAAACAACGCTTGAAGCGTTGTTTCTATCGAACAACGCCTGAAGCGTTGTTCGATAGCGTTTGTTCGAAACGCTGTAAAAACGGCGATAGCACAGGCCGGCGCAGCCAGGCCGAAAAAACAAAACACAAATAAACAAACCCAATGCATGGTTCGCGGCAATATTTCTTGCAGGTATTAGGGCCAACATTGCCCTGTTTGAGGGTAATAAACGTTGCTAGCTTTGAATTAGTGTCTGAATTTTTTCTTTCCTACGCATATTCACAGTATTCACTGAGTAAAGCGCCGCTTACCTTAGCTATCATGTCAGTCTGGGGAACATGGCCAGGTGAATAAATAGTGCGTTAATCATTAGTCCCTTCAAATTGTTCAAATGGATTAACAGTTCAATTTGGAAAGTAACTGCCACTCTCCCAAGGATGATTTCCCGGGATAAACACTTAGTGCTTACGACAATAAGATTAGCTCTGTTAAGGAACCATTTCTAAAAATCAGCTGTTACTCCTTACAGGAGTATTCATTAGTCTTCTCAGGAGCCACCTTTAGTCGTCTTGCAGTTGATCCTTCAAGGACTAACTGTTTATTATCTTGAAGTTAATCCCCAAAAGCACCAAGAGTAACGTTGTAGCGAATATGTTGATCCCCAAATGCACTAACCTTTCTACCCCTTTTAGTTCTTTTTCCCTAGGGTGTGGTCACGGTCACCTTCTGGACAGGCATTCCTGTGTTGAACAGTCAAGCTCTTAACGGCAAGAAATAAATAAATTCTGCATTTTGGCGTGCAAGACAGCAATTTAATTATTAGATGCGCCACTGTGGGGGCCACATGGAACTCTTGGAGTTCTTTTCAGAATTGCATTACAAGTGTGAGTGCACGCTTCTCGCATTTCACCCGCATTGATATGTGTGAGCCGCCCAACAAAACCAACACGAGCCGTGAGCACAGTAGCCTGACAAATTATCTGGTAAGCCTTACACGGCAGAAGCATAAATGTTGTGTAACAGAGAACAAAGAATTTCACCTTCATAAGTGCAATACAACGAAAAAACGGCCAATTCAATTTATTTTCCGTTCTATGCTTTACGGGTAGTTAAAATAACACGTTTGAATTACGCTGACATACTCTGGCATTCAAAGTTTTCTGTAGTATTTTCCTTCCATTATCTTGCAGTGTTCTTCGCCGCGATTTGTGGATTACATGCCCGATTTCAAAGGCATGGCAGGCACTTGATGTACTTGGGATTCACGCCTCTGCTTACTTTGTACAAGGCTGAGTACGTAGAGGTGCGCTTACATTTACTACTTCTTTGATTTCTTTGATAATTGCTCTTCCTGAGTGACTGCCTCAGAAACCCTGCACTGTGCGTGCAATGTGAAACCCATTCTTTTTCTTATTCCCTCTCTTTTTCCCCTTCTGACGTGTAGGATAGCACACTTTACGTAGTCCACCTACCTGTCTGTCTTATATTCCTTCTCTCTTGCTAGCTTACGCAGCGTTTCGTCAGTGTAGTACATCAACTAGTCAGAACAAATGACCTGTGCTGTGGCACAACTAGGTTTCTGCCTCGATGTCACCGAGATGCTAAAATTGTTACTCAAAATGTGAGACAGTAAGGAGTCCATCAATTAATTCGCTGAATTTCTATGTGACGTGTTCAGGCTCATTTGCTAAGCGAGGAAACTTTCTCTAAACACCAATGAATTGTACATGCCGAAGGCCTGGCCTGATTGTTGCAACTTATTTTATTGTGAAGTAGGAAAGTAATAAAGCCTCAGCCCACACCACAATATGCAGCAAGCATAGCTACCAAAAAAAAAATAACAGCTCATAGCGAAGTGAAACTTAGAGGGGGAAGGATGTTAAGGGGACCTCACCTCAGGTGAACCGTAAAGAAGCTGCTTTCTTTATAATGTTATTTTCGCTTCTAACACGTTTGGTGGAGTCTAATCTTCCACTGGTGAATTCTTGTTTGTAAGCCTGAAGCGCCATTGCTTGTAAGTGCCTTGCTTGTATACTAGAGGACTGAATAGACATTTTGTGTCTGACAGGCCAGATCATGAAAGAGTCGTGGCGCACATTTATTTTCACTACGCGATTACTCTGCGCGTCTCTGTTTTCTCTCCTCAAATTAGTTTAGATAAGTGAAGTTTTTAGCAGTGACGCTGCGCCCTACGTGTATTCCTAGAGGCCGGAGTGACGCCACAAAATTTTAGTGTACCGTCTCAGATCAGCGTGGCACAGATGACTTACCGTGACTCACCGAAAGAACGCAAGTGCCAACTATATATAGAAGTTTATTTTATAGCCAGACAATCTATTCATAGACTCCCATGGCTACACACAACAAGAAAAAAAGAGCAAAACCAAAAACGAAAAAAAAACCTTCTTTTTCGCAAAATTGTAAAACTATACACACGTATGAACTCACTCAACTGTCAGCCCTACTTATGTGAACATGTGCACGGAATACTATGGTTTCCTCTGGAAGAACCACAACATTTTCTAGAGAACGCATAAAACGTTTCTGACCTGCAGTTTACGAAATTATTCCCAAATTTCAGGTTACCTTTACGTCTTTCCATGTCACTGTCATGTAAACGCAAGGTTGCAGCGTTTTTGTGGGAGCGAAATGCAGCTACCGAGTTTTCGCTTAGTTCGAAATTTGTTTCATGTCGCTTCACTTCATAAGGTGTAGCCAGCCTAAGAAAAAGGCAACCACTATATCCGTGTCATTTAGTGCATTAGTAAAATAAAGAGTTCACCGTATAGAACAATGGTGCGATGAACGAAGATTGTTACACAAGTGTTATGTATGCAACCTTTCTCTAGCAACGCGTCGAGGTGCTGAAAAAATTTATAAACCTAGCATTACCTATAACCGCTTACACCATCGCAACTTAAATTTATATAGGGTGGTCACCAGCAGGAGAAATTTTCTGTTGATGTACCCAAAATTACCAAGAAAATTTAAAATCTAAGATTCCGTGCATAAGTAAACTGGAGTGCACGAAGATTTCTTTTGTGAATAGGCTGCACCTGAGCATTGCACAAGGGTTGTTTAACAATCCAGGAGAAACACTTGGCTCTTTTACTTCGATGGATGCAGTGAGCGATACTTAGCAGAGACATGATCATTGTGTACTTTTTTAAAAATAGGACGTTGTTATGACGCATGTGAATGCCTAATTTCATAAGTTGAACTTGCAGCAAATACTGTCCAGCAACAAAATTTTGACGAAGGGCGTTCAATACAACCTTCTACATCGCTGGCTTGGAAATGGCTTGCTTACAAGGTACGGCTTTTTCATTTTCTGGAAAGAGCCCCAACGTTGTTCTCCATTGAACGATTCTTATATTCTTCATATTCATTTATTTATTTCATTTTTTCTTTACTTGTATTCCTTGGGAACAATCAAGCGATGAGACTGACAAAGGTAATTGCGGCAATGAGATAGCTCAAAGGACCCTCAGTGGGCACGTTGCATTGTAAGAGTAGCGAGTCACGCAAATAAAATATATGTTTAGTAAGAATGGATATAATAATTAATTGTGCAATACAATAAAGAAAAATCAGTACAGAAACAACACGTTTTGACAATAGCAGGTACAAGCAATTCATACGAAGCTAACACACAATGGTACTCGTTACACTTGAAAATTCTTGAAAAGTTAATATGTCTTCTTGTAGTGCCGGTGTTTAGGCATCTCTAAATTACTACGGGCACTGAGGCTAAACGAAGGTGATAATAAAACCTATTGTGAACCCTGAGCGTACGCCGAGCACATCCGGACATAAAAACAAATTAGTGAAGGAAATGATGCATGGCTCTTTATTGATGTAGCCGAGCCTTAAGCTCAAGCGATGCTCTTTATTGCGATGCACACGCACTAATTTTGTTGACCTTGGATGTAGCCAGACGCTCGGGTCCGGGTATATTTCTTCGTTTCTCACAAGGCTCATATTAGAAGTCCAATTTCCCGTGCTATTTGGAATGAGAGCGGATGTCACCCTTGACTGGTTAAGCATTTGTGAAAATAAATTTTTCTTAAAAATGCTTTATTGGCTCATTTTTGATATTGGGACACTCTGGTGTCTCTAAATACTTACTTACCACTCAGACCAAGTGCACAAACTATTTTCACGTTGTGTGCATTCGGGCAACCACGTCCTACGCGTAATGTAAAATGTAATAGCCAGAATAGAAGCGCAAACTCGGCCAAGTTGATTATGAAAAAGTAAAGAAGCTTTTTGAATAAAAAAATACTGCTCGTGCTTATTTTGACCTTTTCAGATGACTTATAGGATCTTAGCATCACAAGCTGGCAATTGTGTTAATGTATGGCATGTGCTTTAAAAGGCACTGCAACACTCGTGATTCGAAGTGAAGCAGATTCTCTTATAAAAAGCAAGCAATGCTTCTCGGCGCAAACACAGTTTCATGTGTGAATGTAAGGCGAAAATGATGTAGGAACATTTGCTCTGCTTTAGGCGCACGTTAAACACCCCAGGAGGTCACAATTTGTGGAGCCCTCCACATGGCTTCTCTCATAATCATAATGTGCTTTTGGGACGTTAAACTCCACATATCAATTAATCAATTAAACAATCAATCAATAAATAAATAAATCTATCGAACATATTTGCATGTATGATAGCTAAATAGGCCCACACACGTTCTGCATAGTGATATACAAAGTGCAACTTTCTGGCACGCATTGTCATGTGTCCGGCTTTTTTAAAATTAATTATTGAACTGATCACTAATTGCGCAAAGCCACTCTTCGAAAGGCAAATAAAAATATCCTTTGCTTCTTTCTTCCACAAATAGCAAAGGTGACAAATGGCGCTCTCGGAGGCAGCTCTTCACGCCAGCGTTTCATTTTAAGATTCTGGAAGACTTCGCCGAAACAATCAACAGCCAGTCGTTCCTCCTCTGCAGTAAACTAAAAGAGCTGTCACAGAGTGGGGCAAAGTTCGACGTCGTCCCGAAGGTCACCCTCTGTACTTTGGACATTGTTTGCGGTATGTGTACAAAACTTTCTGTCAAGCATAGGCCTTATTGTTGTTGGTTCAGATGGCATAACAATGTGTTGAATTTCCTTTTCACAGAAACTGTTATGGGAACGTCCATATCAGCTCAGGTCAACGAGAACAGCCCATACGTTGCGGCTGTTAACAGGTACCATTCATTCATTTAATTGCAGATTTCGCTTTGGGAGAGATAACGCAGAGGAATAGAAGAATAGGAAAGGGCAGGAAAGTTAAGTGGGCATTATTAAATGCTTGCTATTCTTTATGAAAAAGTTCAGAGAGTTCTTGGTAGTTACAGGTATGATGCAAAGCGGAATCAGATTTTAAAACGTTACGGTTGACGGAAAGGAAACAGTGTTGCTAAACATTTTTCGACAATATTCTACCAGAAAAGAAATGCAGCTGTGCTTGCTAGCGTTCTGGACTAATGCAAGCAAAGATCATAGTACATCCACGGAGTGAATGATGATTGGTGGCGCGAAGCACCGTCCGTCCGTCCGTCCTTCCGTCCGTCCACTCATTCTTGCTTCCGTCCGCCCATGCGTGCCTTCGTCCGTGTGTCGGTCCATCCTTGTGATCTGTACGTCCGTTCTTCCGTCTGTCCGTCCATCCGCCCCTCTGTTTGTCTGTCCTCAGTGCGTCCGTCAGTCCGTCCCTCTATATGCCATCCGTCAGTACTTCTATCTAGTGAACACTCCTAGTAAAGCAATCTCACATCTTTTCATCGTGTATTCATCACATACAAGTGCCGCCATCTACCGGATATTTTAAGGACTGCTCTTTCGGGTATGTGCGACCGCTGGCCACGCCATTAGAAGCTTCGCCCCTAAAAAGTGTCAAATATACCCCGTTGAGGCACACGTGGGATAAAGAAACCGAGGAAAAAAGCAACAGATCCCCATGTTGTCTACTTTTGTGTTTTTTTCAAGAGAAACAGAGAGAGAGATACAGAGTAAAGGAAAACAGAAAGTTTAACCAGAAGGCACTACCTGGTATGCTACCATACACTGGGGTTGGAGAAAAGAGGTACAAAGAGAGAGAACTAAAATTGGCCCCGTATCTGCATGTTCGACTGCAAATGTTGTCGAATGACGATAGTCTTCCGCCTTGAGACAGTGACTGGAATGAAACATTTATTTCACGTTCAGAGCGAAAAAAATGATTATTCAGATTCAGGAGGCAGTGCTCGAGACATGAGCGTCACCTCGCAATAATCACAGAAAACGAAAGAGTGGCCTCCGTTGTAGCGAGCATGCAGCGTGCGCGCACAATCTTGGAGGACATATTTTGTAGATTTCAAGGTAGGTGGCAACACCGTGTTTTCTTAGCAAAACGCAGAGAGCTTGCCTTTTCGCGCATAGCGTCACATTTTCAGCGCAGCGTAATAAACGCTACAGTTCTTAGAATTACCTATTCATGACTTTTATAGTGTAAATAAATACACTACAGAATATTGACGTTTTGATGTTGTGCCTCAGATATGTGCAATATTTGCTTTTTTTATTTGCAATCACACTAGTGTGAACTCTGAAGGCTAATAAATATCGATAGACACTGTGGATGTGGTGGTATTAGAGCCTTTTTCATTGACAGACAAACAGAGAGACATACATAAATTTTTGCACTTAAGTATCCAAAGAAAAACGCCTCTAATAATTCTCAAAGGTATTTTGGGCCGAAGTTGCAAGCCACATCTTTCAAACGCTACTCCAATACAGGATGAGTGGTGGTAAAAAAAAACATTTAAATTCACTGCTGGGCGCGGGGGCCAAGCTCCTATATGGCACGTGAGGGAGACTGAGAAAATAAGGTTGATTGAAAGGATTGGAGGTTAACTAGACAAAAATTTTCTGTTGGCTGCCATGCACTGGGGAAAGCGAAATGGGCACAAAAAATTGAGGTGGCAAAAAATCGGGAAAGGGGTGGTTAAAGAAAAGAATTTAAAAAATTCGCATACACTCAAGCATGAAAATGTCATAGTCGTTTAGCGAGTCTGGTTGACCGCAGAAACTCCAGCAGCGCTTTCGTCGCTTTCTGGCTTGAAGGTCGAACGTTCCGCATACCGAAATGGGGAATATGGCACGTGGGTGCAGGATGGTCTAAGGAGGTTCAACTTTTCGGCTCCTCTCGATAGACTTGCATGGTGGGAGCATTATGTCAGTTCTGTTAATCATACGCCTATCTCGTTGGGTGCAAGCGTAACATGCAATGGCATTGATTGATGAAGCGCACATATATAGAAGTCCCGTTTCCATGAGCCTGCGTCAAGTACATCAGTATGAGAATAATGTTATTATACAGTTTTGTATTACGATGCTCCACTTTTTAATCACTGGTGCCATAGGTTGCGGGGAAGAGTTGTTCTTGGTTGCACGAAAGTTAAAATGGCTGTGTATGCAGCGAAGAGAAGTGAAACTTTACAAGAAATGGCGCTACATATCATAAAAGCGCATATTACTGAGCTCTGTAGCATAAAATCATTTATCGCATCCTTCTTACGTGCGGTAAAGAAAAGCTTAAGCAAAGCAGTGGGCTAATGCGTGACTATAAAGTAACGATGTTCTTCGGAAACATGCGTCTAGTGGGGTCGCGCTTAGACGGGACCAGATTCTCGCACGAGCTGAAATCGGAGATAGCGGACGAGTTATCGACGTGCATTTCACGAATGATACAGAAACACGGCTGAAGGAGAAGTACGGTGCATTTTGACTATACGGAAATAATGTCGTCTTGCTATGCTATAGTTTCGACAGCCCTGGAACAGCTAGGGTGGTTTATTTTACCTAGACACTCGTCAATCATCTTAGTTTAAGAATGAACGATGACTCAGAACAAAAACGAACGGGGAGCTCTTCGTCCTCCATGGTAGGTATTGGATGACGTAGCAAAATCTATATTCGCTGACTTCATGGAATCCACAACACACCGCCCCTGCTGGCGAGGGTGTAGACATGCCTCACCTGCCTCTACTGATGACCCAAAAGCAAGTTGGCGATGTCGTCCGAAGCGGAATCAAGCTGCACCAACATCGCCTCAACTTAGCATAAGCAAGTCTAGCGATGATTGCAACTACTGTCTGGGCGTGGAAGCATAGCCTTTTGATTTCGACCCGGTGGTAAGTGAAGCATCTGTCGTGTTCCGAATCGGTATCCTAATTGCTGAAAAAATGTGTGTACGACCCGTCGTCTACTACGACTACCACGCTGTATGCATCTGGCGAAACTGAACTGCTCTCGCACCATCGTCGCCTCGTAGAAGAAATCACGCCGTGCATCTGTCTGCTGGGAAAGGTGGGGTATTGGAAAAGAGTAGACGCGTATGTCACACACAGAGTGGCCGGCGCTTACAATTGTGATTCGAGAATGGACTACCAATACTTGAAATTTGTTTTCTAAAACTCTACAAGACTTACGGTTGTATAATTTTTCATGTATCAGCACAGTACTGCTAAAAAAACATGTACAATGTTTCATTGAAATCAGCTAATATAAAAAGAAACCGCTGGTGTTTCACTTGGGCAAACTACTACCAAATCGCCCAAATCGCATACTCCAGCAACTGTCAAATAATAACTCTATGAGAAACGCCGTAGTGCAGGACACCAGGAATCTGTATTAAATGGGGTGTTGTAACTTACACCTTTAGAATAAGCGAACATGCTCAAGCGTTTTCAGTTTCATCTAAAATACGTATGCCACGAGCTGGATTCTATCACGAGACCTTCGGGTCAGCCATCAAGCGCCATAACCAACAGACCACTGTGGCGAGCACGCAGTGCACTGTGAATAAGTTTATTATATTGTCTGTGTTTCTGGGGTGATCAGCGAATCCCTTTTCAATTCAGTGGTCTTATCCTTTAAACTGACATCTTCTAAAGCCTACGCATATTTGCCGAAATTCCGACCACACAGAAACACAAAGGAACTCCTAGATAGAACGGGTGCTCAATTACTATTGCTTATTCCTTGACGAATACATGCTAATAAATCAACTTTTCTCAACACATGTGCAACTTTCTTATGCCTTCAACTTTTTAATCACGCTATAATACGCTTTCCAGATACCGCGATTTGGTTTCATGCAGGTTTATCAAGGTTTCACTTATGCAATTGCTACCCCTTTTATATAAAAACTCCTCGAAAGCATTCCGTGATACCTTGTTTTTCGCTTCGTACTATGATTTCTATCTCAGTGAAGCATTGCGTGCCTTCAAATGTTGCCACATGCACGCTAAAGTGAGCACATTCCTTGATTATAACCATAAGCCCATGCTTTCTCGCTCGATCATTGACGCAGTACGACGTCAGGTCAGCGTAGCGGTTACTTCACATCAAGCGTTTCTTGTAAACTACTACAGTGACACACTGGCTATTGTACTACTAAGCGCGCCTGCTTTGCGTACTTTCAGCCGTTGAGAATGACCAGCTCGTATACGACTATAGGCTAGTTTCTTTGGGTCGCAAACACCAGGCGTCCGCCACGCCTACTCGCAACCCCTTTCAAGGTTCTGTGTAAGTTTATGTAAGCAAGTTATCACCCCAGGCAGTCCTTTTTGCCACTGAGCTTCGGCCTGGTCATTTTTCACCTTCCGCGTAAGACATTTTGCAACGCCAGACAATATGAAGTGAAGAAACCCAACCATCGTTAAACTTTTTACATGCGTGTTTAAACTAGACTTCATGTGAAGAGGACAGCCCTATGGTAGTGAGGATTTTTTTCCACGGTTTTAGAGTGGGCGAAAAGAAAGATAAAAGGTCTTCCTTCACAAGTGGTTGAAAAATCAACGGATGGTCGTAATGAAGGTTTAGCATTTAGATCTTGATATTAAAGCACCCCATTGTCAGTCAGATCAAGCTCAAAGTGCAAGTCATGTCCGCTCTACCAAGAGGCCTCTAAATTGCCATCCACGTTTATTAAAATTGCTGAAGCTTAACGTCCCAAAACGACCATGTCATTGTGAAAGACAACGTAGTGGATGCCTTCGCAAATTTCGACCACCTGGGGTTCTTAAACAAGCATCTAAATCTAAGCATGCGGGCCTCAAGCGTTTTCGCGTCCATTGATAATGCGGCCGCCGTGGCCAGGGTTCAATTCCGCGATCTGCGGGTTAGCAGCCGAGTCTCTTAGCCACTAGACCACCATGGCGGCTGTCATACAGTGTTGCATCGCTCGTCGTGCCATTCTGTTTGGCTGAAATATTGCGGCATAGTAAATGTACCTTATAATTGTTCCACCATTGTCCAAGCTAACAGCTTGATACATTCGCCATAATGGTTCAGTGGTTAAGGCCCTCGACTGCTGACTCAAATGTCACGGGTTCGAATCCCGGCCACCAAAGACACAATTTTACTGGACGCAAAAATGCTTGAAGCCTATGTAGTTAGATATACCATCGTGTGTTAGAGTACGCGCGGAAGTTAAAATGTTCGCAAACTTCCCTTCTGGCGTCAATCATAATAATATCGTTGTTTTGGGACGTGAAGCCCTAAGAATTATGAAAAACCGCTCCAGTGTCTCGCCAACTTCAGCAAGAAAACAAGGAATGTTTCAGAGCACAACAGCAACGCATGACCAATACACATCCTCTGACGCTGCAAGTCTTCTTAAATACAAAAGACGGGAAGGTTGTGACGAAATAGACTTCTAGTATTGATGAAAACTCACCTTCATGAATGCCTATTCAATCTTGCAGATCAGCACAGGTCATCAATGACTGAAATAGGGCAAAATACGGTATACAATAAAATAGGTCTTTCATTTTTATTGAAACTGTGACTTCAGTGTTATCCTGAGTCAAAACTGAGAGGCCAGCGAGTTGATACTGAGTTGAGCGTCAAGTTAGGCATTTACTTACTGTTCAGGCAATAAAGCTTTCAGTTGTGAGTAAGCGTGTGTGGTGATCACTTTCCTGTGCTCGTCTTTTTTTAATACTTTTCCGCCATAGTGATATTGTGCTTATCCTCAAAATACTTTTTGAAAGCCTTGTTGAACTTTATGTATGAGGAATGTCTTTCAGAGTCGGAGAGCTATTTGTGGAGAGAATAATGAGGCCCTTGCTACAAATCGACTTCATATACAACTTCACTGCTTCTGGGCGGGAGTTCTGCAAATGCATTAACGTGATTCACTCATTTGCACGAAAGGTAAGCTTGCGCACAGTGTCCAGTAGCTGCTTCAATTAATTTATTGGTACTTGCAATAAGAATAAGTTTCACGCAGGGTTGTTGCATGTGGTTGCTTGGCATGCATCATTGCTTATAAAAACCTAATCATGCGAATCCAGCAATTATCAAAGCCATGTAGATGATAGGGGATCTTGTGGCATTAAAATAGCAAAATACATACAATTAAAAAAGACGGATTAACAGGCTGGCGCCTGAGGGGGGCCAGCACATACTCTCTTAGCATAAAACTTGCAATGCTATAGCGACAAAGTTACGTTGGTGACTCTATGTCCAAGGCATTTTAATTCTTTTGGACAGAATTCAGTCCACTCACTATAACAAACATGGAATGAATAGTGTGCACGCTGAATTTTCATCAAAGTGTATTCATACCAAATCGCGCAGCTCTCTTTCGTTTTACGGCTATTCATGACGATGTCGACAGATGTGGCAAATCCATTATTTTCTGGCGTCACGCCTTACGTGAACTATAGCTCCTGCAGGCAGCATACAAATAGGTTTTGCATGCTGTACTCTAACGTACAAACTTACCTAAGGCGATACCTTGGCTATACAGGGAACGTCCATAACCACATTTTTTAGTCCCAACCACATAATGTGAACATAGGTGGTGAGTAAATGATTCGTTGTTTCAATAAAGCCATGGGAAATGTAGGTTGTCTAAAAGAAATATCGGGAAAGATCTACAATTATTAACGAAGTGTATATGAAGCGCTTCAGAGTACTACGATCACGAAAATATGATGTGTAACATTGCTTGGTCATGCCGCGTAGCCTTCTCAGTGCCTATGAGCAACTCGAGCGTAAGGCGATAGACACTTTGCTGTGCCATGCCAAGTTATTTTATCTGTTTCCCGAAACTACGACGAGAGTCTCCGTCACTCCGATCATACCTGCTATATTCGGCGACAAGTTTTCTTCGCATTGAAGCGAAGGATACCGAGCCAAATCTCGTGCATCCTACAGTCATTGAATGTAATTCCAAAATAGCGCCCATGTTTTAACATGAAATATAAATGGCATTTCTTCACTTGTCAAGTGCAGCTATATTGAAATGGGACCACGTGCACAGGACGCAGCACACATCAGCATGAGAGATATATTTCGTTAAATTTGCGGCGTTTTCAGGCACGCGAGAAAGTCCCACCTTTTGACGTGTACCTAAAACGGTAAGCGGCGTCTGCGTCGACATGAAACGCTGATAATGCGCCCCCGTCACTTTCTAAAGCGCAACGAGGCGCGTGCCAAATCGGGTTATTCCGCGTACGGCTATATGTAAAGAAGCACACCCGCGAAGCTTTTCCTTCAAAGCCAAGAAATATTTTCGCCAAGTATGTGTTTTGCATGCACCTGCACAACAGTTAGGTGTTGTACAGGCGCATATAAGACATATATTCGGCGACACAGAGCAGCATGCACTTTGTGTCGGAGTCGAAAAGGTTTGACACTATCTGTCTGTTAGCAATCAATTGAGCTGGTTTACTACGCCTGAATTGCACCAGATCTATAACATGTACGGAAAACTTTGCTGGTGCGTTCCCGCTTTTTTGCCGTGTTACGCTCAAACTTACACCTTGGCTCAACGCGTAACGAAGTGTCCATGTACATGACCGTGCACAGAAATGCCACCACTCCTATAGTAGAGCAATAGGGTGTAGAATTCAGATATACGCATTAAGACACTACGAGATTTACAGTCAGATTGTACGTTGCGCTACACGACAACCTGATGATGACGCGACCAGTAAATGTTTCTACAATTAGGGTTGTAAGCAATTGGATGTATAAATGTAGAATATCACAGAAAGAATATATTGAGTTAAAATTTGAACGAATGACACTGATGTTTGTTCTACAGTTTGGACGACCTAGGCTCGGGCATTTGTAGAATAAGACGCCTAAAGTCTGCGTTCTAAATGCAAATAAATACCGGCAGAATTTTTTTTTATCAGCTTGGCTGCAAACACCCCCCCGTTGTGTGTGTTCGTGTTGTGAATTGGAGCACATAATTTAGCTCTAGCAACGACTACGCCAGGGTGGCAACATACTAGGATGTTCTGTTGTCCCCGTCTCCCTTATCTGCCACTTCTGGCTCCAAATTCAGTTCATGAACATCACCGGTACCAAAAACCAGTGTTTTCGCTTCACCAATTGACTGGTGCTGCTTTTAGCATTTAAAATTATAATGCTATTTTTATTTGGGAAGACCAGACGCTAAATAGGCCGAGTATACGCACCTGTTAGCAACAAAATGATGTTCCATTCATTTGCCATCTGCTTGCTCTTGGTAAGCATCAGACAGCGCACTGGTTTGTGTGCATTTTGAGCGAACCTACATAGCACAACGAACCTCTAAGATCGGCTAAAGCGAAACAATACCCGTCCTGCAGGCCAAACACAACGCTAGCACACAAATGGCGTATCGTGTAAGCTAACATGATTAAAAGCATGGCTGACAATTCTACCTGTTAATTGCTTACCAAAAGCGTTGAATCTCGCATACAGGACAAATGCTAAAGGAAGTCAAGGTGACACATTCATTGGCAGTTCAACTCTTTGTGTCCTTTTTTCTTCCTTTATTCATTGTTCTGTTTGCGAAATTCAACACTTCTGAGAAAGTATCTTCGTAGTGCTCGTACCACGCTTGGTCGAGAACTTTTTCTTTTCGTCGCAGCTTGAGCATTTTAGAGTATAGAAAAAAGTCAATATTTCCATTTAATGAGCGATTGTGCTTACCAAAAATAAGAAAAATGTTGCCTCTGTCAAGTGTATTTAAAGTGCTTTATTTATTATTAGGTTATTGAAGAACGAAAAAAGGAGTTGGAAAAAGCAGTCAAAGAAGGCACCTTAATGCTCGACAGCTCCAGTGAATCTGAACTCGGTGTGAAGAAAAGGAGGCCTTTTCTGGATCTTCTCATTTTGGAACATCTAAAGAATCCCAAGTACATCACTAAAGAAGATGTGCGAGAAGAAGTGGACACGTTCATGTTTGGAGTAAGCTAATTCTTCGAGGACAAAGCTTTTTTGCTCATTCTAATTTTAAACATGCGAATTTTTCTTCGTAACATTGTCACTCACATTGATGAAGTTTCTTATTGTGCAGGCAATTGTGACAGTTGTTTTACAAGAGACTTGGCAAGCAAGACAGCCTGAGCTGTATAGGCTAAAATTTCCCCCCTGTATGTCTCACATTGACTGCAAGGTTCGACGTTGTGTGTTGGGAGACAATGTGATGTAAAAAAGACAAAGTAGGACAAAAGCTTTTAATGTGCCACGACGGTTTTACTTGTCCGTATTAACGTTGGCAGCGACACTGCTTTCGAGAAAGCTTTCTTTAGCATTGCGCAGCCTACGAGGACCTTAAATACTGCACAGCATACGATGACCTTAAAGACACGTCTTGTGTTGTTTTGATAATTCTTTTAGAAGCCCATAAGTGAGGAAAATGAACCCCGTCAGCTATATGGTCAGAACAGATTAGAACCAACTGTCGTAATACGTAATAATAGAAGCAAGTATCGATTACGCAAAAACAGTGTAAATTTCCAAAATGATCTCTTAGCCATTTAGGTCATGTCAGAAAGTGATCACTTTTTTTTTTGCTTTCAGGGTCACGATACAACAGCGATGGGGATTAGCTGGGCGCTGTTCCTTATAGGCCACCATCCACGGGAACAACAAAAGATTCACAATGAACTAGACCAAATCTTTGGTGACGACAAAGAGCGTCATGTCAACTTCGAAGACCTGAGACAGATGAAGTACCTTGAGTGCGCCATCAAGGTATACGTTTCTATGTGAAATATTTTTCGACAGTTGTAAGTTTTACTTTGTACTCTATGCAGGAATCTCTACGCATATACCCATCTGTGCCAATGATTACAAGGAAATGTGAGGAACCATTCGAAATAGGTGAGGTCCACCATCACTCATGTCAGCTGATGGACAAAAGCAATTAGCTGCTGGACAAAAATGAGAATTTTCCTGTACTCTCTTGCATACGTCACACACGGCTTGCCGTGAAGATGGAGCGACCCTTCCTGCTGGAACAATGGTGCAAGTCGCGGCGTATTTCTTACACCGGGATCCCGAAGTATTTCCTAAGCCGGAAGAATTTCACCCGGAGAGGTTCTTCCCAGAAAACTCGAAAGGAAGGCACCCTTTTGCTTATGCCCCCTTCTCGGCGGGACCCCGAAATTGCATCGGTGAGGAAATAAAATATCACTGATTGTAAAACGCAAATTTCTGCTTTCTAGCTTTTCCCCCTTCATATTTGTGTGCTTTTTCTTTCTTTTTTCGAAAAGGCAGTATCAGCTGTTTTGCAAAAGGGGTGTCAGCTGGGTTTTTAAAAATGCGGACGAGTTGTCGGCTATTGCGGTCTGTTTACTGCGTGACCTTACCTGTAACGAGTCATATTTTATTTGAAATTCGCAGTATAAACATTATTATTAGGGTTATTTTGCACCAGCTACACTAATCTAGCTTCCGCCACAAATAATGAATACCGAAATCGAAATACCAACCTAAATATTTCTATTGAAATACTGCAGACTTCAACTATAATACGGTTGTACTACTCGTGTCAATATACCAACTTTTTCAGAAACTCGCGAAATTACAGAAACTTTCCAAATTCGTTGACATGGTCTCAGTGCCTCCTTCAAGTCACTCATTAGCATATTCGCGTATGGCGACACTGTAAGTGCCCCTGAGTGCACGACGCAGTCGTGACCAGTTATGCACGTTTATCTTGTACGGATTGTCGTTCGCCTACTGACTCGCAACACAGTGTATGACGCTGTTTTAATGTTGCATTAAGGTTTATCTTCATATACACTTGTCTATGACCGCCATGCTTATGTTCTACGCCTTTTACATGCGTGTTACGCAGTCTTCACATTTGAGATATATTTAGTACAATTGTCTATCTCACGTAAAGCACAAATAAGCAGAATTCATAGTGCACTAGTTTTTAGTATGAAATAACCTTTTTCCGAACTATGGAGGCCATAGCTTTACCGCAAGGGTAATAGAAATGAATGAGATATCAACAAATAAAAACTTATACGAAATAAGGCTGCAAGCTAACTCCTTTACTACTCTCTCAGGCGCAACTCTAAAAAACGTTGGCGTAAAGGAACCCAGCCCCTCGAGTGAATGATGCGAGTGCGTGATGTAAATCACTTCTGTGCCAGGCAAGACGGGAGAAAACTGCACATAGGGATATATGAGGCGTCTGCCAATACTTGTCCAAATAGCGCGCACGCGAGAAAAACTGCCACGCACGTCTGATCTAAGTTCACCGGCCAGAGCAATGCTGCATCTCCCCCCTTCAGCATACCTCTATGCGCCTTTCCATGGCGAACACATAGAGTAGACACGTTTCATCTCCGATGAAGACGCTACCGCCAGCAGCCTTCGCACGATTTGACTGGCTCGTAAAACACACGATGCTTAAGGTAAATGTTTAGTTTTGGACTTACGCGGACGTCAACGTTGACATCGACATCATGTTCTGCATTTCATTGGAATTGCCCTGAGTTCAAGAGCTGGTGTTTCAAAAAAAGAAATCGTCATATCCTGAATTTCAAATATAAAAACATGGCAGGATTATCAGGGATGCTGTAGCGGAGACCTCCGGAAATGTTTCATACCACCAGGTGTTTCTTAACGTGCAGTGACGTCGTACAGTACGTACACCTTTATCAGTTCGCATTCAGCTAAATGCTACCGTGTCGGCCAGCATCAAACCCGCACCATTTCTGGATCAGCAGGCGTTCAGCGTGACCTCTGCATACTCCACTATGAAAAACTATTTCAAACACATTTGGGAACAGTAGAAAAAAGCAGCAACAGAAGCGTCAAAACCACCCTGCCCTTTAGTACCAAAAAAAATGGTCGCGAAAAACTGCAGCGAGCTCACGCGGGAATACAGAATAGGCTTACTTTTTCAAGTAATACACGGAAACACTTGGCGACAAAATCTAGAAATGAAGTTGACCAAAATAAACAGTTACGCGTGTGGCATTCGCATATTTCACACAATACGTAAAAATAACTGTCGTTGTGTAACTGTGCATAGGACGCTATATAAATATTTGAACAACCCAATTGAGATAGGTGATTGCATGAAATAAGAATAATAGTCTTGCTTACTAAGGCAAAGAAGTTCTGTATGGGGTAAGGGCAAGTGCGCAGCTTCGAAATTTACTGTACGCATTCAGAAGCCTTAGTGAGTTCTTCTTTGAGATTTTTGAGCTGTAATTATTAGTAAAATGGCGTCCTATCTAACGTTCTATGTATGTTTCTTGAGGAAGTTTGAAGGAATATCTTTTTTTTTCTAAACAAGATCATTTAACGAGGGATATATTGATTTTATCGTTTATATAAAGAAACTTCTGCGATGGCCATTACTCTATGTTTAGTGCTCTGTGACAACTTTAAATTTGTCAAGCAAGTGTGCGCTTTGTCTACAAACAGTATGTTTGCGAGAACACGCACAATAGTTTTCTGCAACAAGGATACTTTGTTATAATTATGTCACTTAAAATGCCCCGTTATAGTCAATTACTTCACCCAGCACGTCTTATCTTCCACTACTTCATTGTTCATATAAGTATTATCGAAAGAAACTCAACACCTCTGCAAAATCCGCATAGATTTATATGTGCAATATTACTGACAGAAATTCACCAGATTATTATTTTTTTCTGAGACATAAAGAATGCCTAAATATGCAGTTTACTGTTGCTGCGTGCGTGCTATGATAAGAGAGCAAGAAAATCATTGTTGTCATACGTACATCATTTGGCTAAGTAGCTGTGATTTTCACGATGATACCTTTTTGAGGCAACAACGACACGCGAACAGATACAGGGACCCCAAGGGCGGTGATTGGCAATTTCGTTCTGTGTGCCAAATTTACTCGTATGGTGTTTTTGTTTACATTAAACCCCCACACTAATCAATATTATCCAAAATATTATTATTACGTTATAACATTCAAGTGCGCTTGGAAATATACAATTGTGAAAACGATCCCTGTACGACCTGACTGTCAAGTATTGTTCTTGTTTGCAAAGTACCTTTTTTTCGCAATTTACAGCACAAAAATAAAAAATGTTCTTCTGAACTGGTGTTCATGCTGTACTTATTTATTTTTTATTTGTTCTTGGGCATATGGTCTTGCATTAACGCGCAAATAATATTTCGTGTGACCTTACTATAACATGTGACCCAGCAAACGTACTCTTTTCTTCCATTGACAGGGCAAAAGTTTGCACTCGCTGAAGAAAAGATCGTCATCGGGAACATTCTGCGACACTTCACCATCAAGTCACTCGATCAGCGTGACAAAGTTGAGATTGTCAGTGAAATAGTGCTGAGACCTAAAGGTGGCCTCCGAATTCAATTCACTCCTCGTTAATTATTTCATTGAAACCTGCGAAAAAGTGATATCTGCCATGATTTCTCTACAGTATCAAGGTCAAGCACGTCCTTTATTATCGCCTGTTTCTGAATTTATTTCTTTGTTCTTTATTTATCAGATACCCTGCAGCACCCTAGAGCAATCGAGTAGGGGTTCTACATCAGTGAATTAGACACAAATTTGTTCACGCACGTAATACAACTTAGTTTACGTTCAATATGCAACCCCGTTGAATCGTTAGTATACACTTTGTTCGCGTTACAGCCTGACGTTACTGCATTCAATAAAATACATCTTCGTTACCACTACGCACTTGCTTTTCAGTTAGCCTATTACCCTGTTCATTTCTTCAAGAAAAAAATGATAAACTAGCATGCACGTTGTTTTAGTGGAGTATTTGATAGTTTCGCGACTATGACCAAATATGTTGATGGGTAAGCAGGTTTGTGTACCTAAATTGTTTCTTCCTTCATTAAAGATATGACGATAAAGGAGATTTTAGCGCACATATAAGGTGCTGTCTACTTCTTCACATCAATGGATCGAGCATGCAACAGAAAAAATAAACATAAGAAAATAGAGCATTATCATTGAGCACAATCTGAGCACAATCTGTGCCAATACACATAAAAGCACCATCACATTCATACAGAATTTGTACGAAAGGCAATATTGTTTCTATAATGCTTTTGGTGATAATGATGATAAATTCCCAAATACTAGCAACATAGCAGTCAACACGTCATTAACATGAGGGGACAAGTAAAACTACTATATGAAAATATAAAATAGAAAAATGAGCCAATACACATAATAAATGACCTAATGCACTATGAGCATATATTGCCCATTAGGTTCCAGTAATTGAACTGCCTTGAAGAAAACATTTTGAAGCTTTTTAACCGTGCGTATATAAGGGTCTTGTCTTTGTGCCATATGCAGTGTGATGCCGGCTTTGTTTTTTTTTTAATGTCCAGTTCCGGCGTTTACTCAAGCTAACGGCGTTAAAGAGGACGAGTCTTTGAAATGTCAGAATTACATGTATTGTTCTGTCTTACCTTGTTATCCCACGAAAGCTCATCAGAGAAATTTACTTCTTTTCAAATCTGAGGTTGCTTAACTTGCCCCTTCACTAACATCCTTTAGCAAAAAAGACAGTTGTAAATATTGCCGTATGGCTTTAGGCGACTGCGCCCCGCCGCGGTGGTCAAGTGGCTAAGGTACTCGGCTGCTGAACCGCAGGTCGTGGGATTGAATCCCGGCTGCGGTGGCTGCATATGCGATGGAGGCGAAAATGTTGTGCACGCGTTAAAGAACCCCAGGTGGTCAAACTTTCTGGAGTTCTCTACTACAGCGTCTGTCATATTCTTATGGTGGTTTTGGGACGTTAAACCCAAGATATCATTCATCGCTTTAGGTGACTGCATATGCTCTTTTACAGTTCAGCATATCCTTGTCGTAGCGCGCAATTCCTTGTGTCACACTTAAGAGATGATAAGAACTTGTAAGAGCAGTAACGGCAAAACGGAAATCAAAACTTTTTTTTACATAGAAAATTCACCTCATGCGCCCAATTTACCAGGGCGAGCGGCTTAGGAAAGTCTCTCCTTCAGGCTCGCGTCACCATGGAGGCATATTAAGACAAGAAAGACTGAGCATCGCCGATCATCGGCGCCGTTAGGGTCAAGTGGTGGCTCACACACAGGCTCATCAACATTCTTGGAAAGGGTAATGGGAAGCCCTTCGAAAGGGCAAACAGAAACAGAATAGAGAAGAAGAAGAAATCTTTATTTGTCGCAAAAAATATACACGCATTGGGGTAGTATATACAGAAGGAGGTCCCATAGCACAAGGCTAACGGCAGCATGGTGATGTCACCCGCAAAAGACGTGAAAAAATTTAACACTGTACACCTTCAGTGTGCATCGCTGCGTAGTTGATAAGTCGACATCGATTTTTTCCAAATCGTTTCCTGGTCGTTTACTAGTGTTAGCAAGTGCAACGTCATCGAAAATTTCGTTGCACTAGCGTTCCCGCCTTGCGTGCCTGTGTAGGATGACACCTGCCTCCGGTATTCGTTTGCCGCGGACGTCTTATATTACCTTCCAATTTCCATGCGATATGGCCCCCTTCATAACATGTACATATGGCGATACATATGGCGACATATGGCGACGTAGTGCTTTACACGCCTTTATTAGGCCAGGAAGACGTGGCCAAACCAGTCACATCTGAGTTAAAGAACAGACTTAAACGATGTCCCCACAAACGTTGACGATTAAGAACACCATCTGATGATGTACAAGTGATGAAGCGTCTTATGAATGCCCACAGTAAATTCTCGCGCATGAGCGCGGCCATCCTGGCCGCAACAGAAACGTGCAGAGAACGCCTTGCGAAAGACTTCACACGTGACATATGCAGTCTCTCCGTACTGCGACGGCGCCGGTCATTTGGAACACCTACAGCTTCAACGCCAAAATTAACGGAAGAGCTCTGCTCAAAGACTGTTAATAGGCTGAGCAACTGAAACTGAAATTCGTCGCACAAGCCAGGAGTGCGAACTGGTGTGCAGTGTAGCACTTCGTCGCCGGGGGGGAAGAACACAGCCGTGTGGAATGCATTATGCAGATTGTTACGGTCGTGTTGCCTAGCCTCAGTGTTGAGCCCGGTGAGCTGATGACAGGGTCGGAAACGGGACACACATTGTTCACAAAAAGAAGCAGATAGGTGGGGTAACAGGGCCGTCAAGATCGAGACGTCAACAAGAGGAGGTAGCGATTGGCCGTACACAATGTAGAATAATGAGTAGCCAGTTGTGCGTTGTACGGTGATATTATACGCGAATTTTAGGAAGCACGAAATGGCGTCCCAGTTTGTGTGATAAGGCTCAATGCACAAAGCTATTATGTCGGATAGTATAGGATGAAATCGCTCAGTCAGCCCGTTCGTTTGGGGGTTGTAGCAGGAGTTGCCTTGTGGCTGGTGCCGGAGGCTCTCAGCAATTCCTCTACTATTTGTGAAAGAAGAGCTTTTGCACGGTCCCTCAGTATTGCGCGAGGAGCACTGTGATGCAATATCAAAGCTTGAAACATGAATTTGGCCACGTCGGACACGGAGACTGAAGTCACGCAGGACGTTTCAGCCTAACGTGTCAAGTGGTGGACAGTTGTCACGACGTATCAATGTCGATTGGGAGTCATGGGAAGAGGACCATACAGATCAAAGCCAACTAGTCCAAATGACGCCGACAAACATTAAAGTAGTTGCAGCTCTCCGCTTAGAGGTGATGTCGGAAGCTGCCCGCACCGACAAAAGTTGCAGAAGGTAACGCACTTTTCTAGGCTGGCGAACAGACCAGGCCAGTATAAGTGACAACTAGTAATTATTGCGGTCGTATGTTTTGGTAAACCAAAAGTGACCAGCTATCATGTCTTCGCAGCCAGCAGTTAAGTCCATCTGGTGTTAAAAAACCGTTATTTTGTCGTCTTTATGCATCAGAATCTGCCAGTATCCCGACCGTAAATCGAGATTCGAGAAGTACTGGGCCCCCTGTAGTGAATCCAAGGCGTCGTCTATACGCGGCATGGGGTATACATCCTTGTGCACGATCTTGTTTAGCACACGAATTTATGCATAACCACACGAACACCATCTTTTCTCTAAACTAGGACGACACGTGATGACCAAGGACTAGCAAATGAGCGTATTGTCTTCCGTCTTAACATGTCATCAACGTTTTATTCAATGATATTCCGCTCAGCTGCAGATACACGATGTGATCAACGACGAACGATGGACACACAATTGGTCTCGATCCAATGTGTGGTGATGTGCATCTGTCCCAATACGAAGAGAATAGACGTCAAACCAAGATTCGTGCTTTGTTACAAACCAAGCTCCTGTGTGTGTCTGCGAAAAAGTCAGGTCAAAGCTGATGGTAGCTTTTAGGGCGTAGATGGATGCTAAATGCTAAACAGACAGATCTTCAGGGAAACCCTTTTGAAGAGTAACCATACAGAGAGGCTATGATGTAGTGACGCAAGAAGTCATCGTTATGGCCCTTGCGAACAAGAATTCGTTCGAACGATAGGTTTCTTGCGCAAAATGAATGCGAAACCAGCGTCGAAACTGAACAAGCCGTGATGCGAACACTGTAGCTCTGGTGACAAAAAGAGTGCATGTGGTCCTAGAAGCACATCGCCTCGCTAAATAATATCAGACATAACTGTAATGATTCACTGACTGCTCAGAGGTATCTCAGTGTCTTTTGCAGCGAAAAAGAAAGAAAACGAAGTGGTGCGTCATGCGCGTAGGTGGTATCGTTCATGCGGAGAAAGTGCTGCCGGTAGCAGATGGAGGCGGACGCTATTGAAAGGAAATCTCACCCTAATATATGCTGTTGGGCACACGAACACCGCAAATTCCATCAATGTGGAATTCCATCAATTTGGACATGAACAGTGCAATGGGCGGAAGGTCAAATGTCGTCCCCTCGAGCAGCGAGCGACGTAGGTCCATCGTAGGGCGTATTAACATTGCGGAGACGCGCGCACAAATCACGGTGAAGAGCTGACAAACTACTACCAGTGTGTATTTAGGAATCTACTGCTTAGCCTTCTACCCAAACAAATATTATGTTATGGGGATGTTCTGAAGGAATTTTCTAACGTCGCTAAATGCAGCTTTTATTCGAAAAGCAGCTTAGTTTAGTTATCCGTGCGACGGTAGGTGAACTGAGAGGCTGGTCTAAGTGGCGATGTACAGCGAGAAAGAGGGGACGGCGAGCGCTGCCAACCACTGTGATAGCTAGCATGTATTGCCGGCGTTCCTGGTGAGAAGGAAGAGTGACCGTGAAGTGTAGCGTGAGGACGACGCTGTAAAGTTTCCCTGGAAGTCAATGTCCCGTTCGTAATTGTGAAACCCCCGACGCTTGTGTTGATGGCGCCTGCGACCAACAAGAACGATGTGTCCACAATATCCACAATTGTAGCAGGTATCCTTGTCGGGCGCCACGGTGGATAGTAAGGTTGGTCGTGTGCTTTGAGACTCACGGAAGCTAAATGTGTTGACGCCGGTGGTGCAAAGTAAGGCTGGTTGTGTGAGCTGGAAGATAGGGACGCCAGATGGGCTGACGTCGGCGGCTATGACATCAATGAAACGATGGCCGGAGTACCTGTGGCGGCTTCAGCCTAAATTAGTGGGGCCCTAAGAACGTTGGGGTCTGTGTACGCTGCACCAGTCATAGCCGCCAGCTCTTTATTAAAGACGTCACGCATATGGGTAACAGAGGTATCAGAAGGAAACGGACGCACTGAAAAACCGAGCGACTGCTGTTCTTCTCATGATTGCGCAGATGATGCGCCGCACGAGGGTTTGGCCGTAGGAATGTCAGGAATAGCTGCGGGAGGGTTTTCCGGCTGCAGCCGTGTCATTTTGAGCTCATAGAGGCGCTGGCACGTTGTTGAAATGTCAGAGACGTAGTGAGGTCTTTTACGGCCAAAGCTTTGATGGCAACAGGACCAATGCCTTCGAGAAGATGACGCACTTCTCGGCCACGGAGGCATTGACGCGTAGACAAAGAGTGAAAG